TGTAAAAAAAAAAAAAGAAAAAAAGGAAGAATAGAGAAGGAAAAGGTTTTCCAATATGCAGATTGGTGAACCTAATACGAAAAAAAAGTCTCGTGTGCTTACCGATAGTTCGACAAAAAGGGATCGTCGTTTTGTTGAAATGAAGAACCTACCTTGTACGTAACAATAAAGTTTTTCTTTTTTTTTTTAACGACAGCATTAGCGAAATTAAGACTTACAAAACCTTTTTTTCTCAATTAATGCAACTTCCATTTCATTGATGTGTATATATATTTACTTTGTTACAAAATATATTTATTATTACGTATTATTTGTACAAATGAAGTTTCTCTTATAAACAGTAATCATGATATTTTTCCCTTCTTTCATATATGTATGGTATATATCGAGAAAATAAAGTCAATAAGCTCGAAGCATGATATCCGTTCAGTTGTTTCTGAGTAAACGTTAAAGTCATGGGGGTGGAGGGATGAGAAAAAAAACTAAAAATCAGAGTGCCGGAGCAATTTCAAGGGGATTAGTTCATCAATGTTTCATGAGACGACCACACGGAACTTAATCTACTCTTTAAAATGGAAATCGAAAGAGAAAGAAAAAGAGAGTAACGTTCTTTTCAGAATCACGCACGACACTTGAGTCAACGTTATGCCAATGGTGGAGGCTTTCGGATTCTCTTGAAGTTTTGACCTTTTTCCATCTACTTCAGTTTTCTCATTAGTTTCCAAAAAAATCGATCGCATTGCTTGCTACTATCTATTCTACGTTTATTTTCGAATATTTGTTAAGTTTCTTTTGTTTTTTTTTTTCTTTCTTCTTTATCTCGTAAGATTCGTTTCGGTTAAACGAGCACGAAAGTAATCGTTATCGTATACTAATTCGAAACGAAAGAAACAACGACAGTTTTCCTACATTTTCTCTCGATACTTTCTCCCCCTTCTTACTTTTAAACTTTTCAGATTATCTAATATGTACTGCAACTACTACTACTACTATTACTACTATTACTTTCTTTTCTATCCTACTTTCCATGCAAATTACGTTCATCGTGATTATACGTTGCGTATATTGTCGTATCGAAATCTAAAAGAAACTTTGTTGTTTTCCTTATTGAAAATTGAACAGTTTTGTGATCGTGAATATATTTGAATAACTAAATTTTTCCATGGAAAAAAAAATCAATCAATCAATCGTTGATAATTAAATTGAATAACGATCCTGTTAACGTCACGTTTGAATTTTTCTTTTTTCCTCTATTTTTGGTTTTCGATACATTTAATTAAGAGTCTAATTACGGTGAAATAATATAATTAATATGTTTGTGGTAGATATAATTCGATAATATAAACAGTTACGATGATTGGTTGTTAAAGGGAATTAACGTGAGGTAAAGTTTAGTAAAATCGATCATAGTAAGTGATTTTTAACGTCAATAATAGATGACAGGTATACGTTATATTAATGTTCAAATATCTGCCAATCATTAGTCGGACGAATGCATTGAATTTTCGTGCCAACATTGAATTTTCGATGTTAGTAGTAGTCCGCTAAGCAACAGCAACAGCAGGACCTACGGCTGAACGTTATCGAACACGTTAGCAATGTTTTGTACACTAATTAGCTTCGTACCAACCACTGGACAGCTGATTTTCCAGGTAGCGTTGATTGACGCGATACTCGAGTTTCATGTCGAACCTCAATTGGGACTGAATTGCTGAAGCGTACCGATACTTCGTTAAACACACCACTCTTGCAACGACCGAGTGCATCCTATTACTACGTTGCCGAAATGTCACTCTTGTCAATGACAACGGGTGTCATGGATAAAACCATATCTATATACTACGGATCATCCAACTTTTCATCGTTATTATTCGACGATTCAAACTTCATGTTTTTTTTCAAATGTTAACATAACCAATGGGTTATTGGTTATTCAATAAACGATTCATGATTATCGATTTTGTCATTCTCATATTTCTAATTTTATATTGGAATTTCAAATATTATTTACGAATTGTAATTATCTTTTTAATAAATAATCATTACGTTTTGCAATATATATATATATATTTATGAACTCTTATTTTATTGTAATAATATTTCCTATATATTAAAATATTATTTAATAAATAAATAATTAAATGTATATATATGGATGCTTTTGTATTTAGATATATTTTTTCAAAGCTTATGATATTTTTCTAACGTTACCTTTTCTATCAATAGTTGCAAAGAAATGCAATGTTAAACATAAAATACGAATAAAATCAAGATTATGTTAGAGAGAAATTCTAAAAAAAATGAATGAAACGAATTTATTACTTTGAAATATAATCAGCAACATTTTCAAATAGAACGAGTCAAGGATTTATCCGACAGACATTTTAAGTAGTACAAATCATATTCGATCAGACATTTATTTTTTACCAACAATATAAATTATATTTTTTCAAATAAGATATATAACTTAAGAAGAAAATAATAAAGTATGAAATAAGAGAAAAAGATATAACCAAAAAGAAGAAAGAAAGAAATAAATAAAACCAAATTCACAAGACAAATTGGTGAATGCAAGTATTTATTTATTCCTCCAAGTTTTCTGTCTCTCTCGTTTTATCTTTTTTTTTTTTTTTTTCTTTTTTTCTTTTACTTTCTAACGTTGGCACAACATATGCGCATATTTCACTTTTTCCTAACAAGACAAGGATAAAGAAAAAGAGAGATGAGGAGAAGGGGTTGTTAAGGGGGTTGATGGTAGAAGAAACTAGGGAACATAGGAAGTGGTAGAGAAAAAGTTGCGTGCAACAGAAACCCCATGCCACTAACGTATAACTCTTTGCTAAATTAGAATACCACATGATCGCATTTTTATACCCTTCCCCCCATATCTTTATTTCGCTTTTCTTTTATCTTTTCTGACTACCATGCCGTTGCTTTGTCGTAGTTTTTTTCTTCCTTCCTTTTTTTTTATTCTAGAAAAATAATATAGTTGTCACAAATATACGAAAGAACGAAAGAACGAATAAGAAGAAAACATTGTTGAAATTGAAATCGTTGTTTAGAAAAATTCTAAAAATCATAATTAAAAAAATACAAATTCTAATCGAGTGACGATTATATCTATGGTGTTTTCTTTTTTTTAAACGTTTATAATATCTTCGTACATATATCTCGAAGATCAACTCATTTTTACGAAGTAAAACACGAGTGCCATTATAAATGTCTCGAGCATAGAAGAGAAGTGTTCTACTTAACCCGGTTAAAAAGAGAAAAGAAAATACGAAAAGACGAGGGGAAGGGGGTAGGGGGTAGGATAGTAAGTATGACGACGACGATGATGACGACGGTACGTCTGGGTGTATAAAATAGTTCTTCTTACTTTTTTTCATTCATTCTTCATCTTTCTTCCAAGATTATTCCAAATTTTGTTCACTTAAATCGTCCACTAAATATTAAAACTACATTTTCGCATATAACGTTAAGTTATTACACCAAAGTAAATATATATATATATATATATATATATATACTTATCATATAAACCATCACGAAGTAATTATTTACCCCGAGGTCTTTTCATTATTTCGTACATTAATGGTCGTCGTAATTAAAGATTCCACCCCTTTTTTATTTCCTTCTCTCTCGTTTTAAATTTACTTCTTTTTATTTTTTTTTTTTTCTAATTTACAAATCATTTTTTCCCCGATGTATGAAAACGGACCTTTAATTAAAAGTTTTAATTTTTTCTATTTTTTTTTTTTTTATTCTCAGTTTTGTAAATAAATCAATTAATTCTAAAATACAAAATAAAAAAGAAAGACAAAAACAAATATTTATGAAAAATACACGGATACTTCAGACACGTGAAAATTCTTTGGTAGGACCCACCCTTTCGTAGAGAACTCTGACCAACCATTAAGTACAGAAACGAGCAATCCAAAGTGAAAAGCCATCGGGTGTGGTGTTCACCCTTTTGCTGAACAACGCGTACGTACGCTAGTTTCGTTCGTTCAGTCATTCGGCAATCGTGCTTTAAAGCTTTCCCCAACCGGGTCAATCGGTGACATTAGCGAGGAATTTCAAACTATTCATGGTCCTCTTCCTTCTCTAACATTTGTTCATTAGCTATCCCATAGGAAGAATTTATTCGTTAAAACATACGAAACCTACCTGCACCTATTGTTCAATAATTGTTTTTTTATTTTTTAAGTTATTCTCATCGATCATTCATTTTTTTCTATCCCCCCTTTCTGCATTTATTTTTTTTTTTATTTTTACTCTTATTATTTTACATTTCACGATAAGAAAATTTGTAATAAGTTTAGTTTCAAATGTTCCATAGAAAATATTATATCTTTTATATAAGTAATTATGTGAATATTAAAATATTTATTCGCTTTAATGAACGATTTCTTTTAAAATAGAAGTATTTACCATGAATATTTCATTTCATTCGTATCCTGTTGTATATATATATATATATATAGTCTTTCATCGAATATATTTATATAACATATATGATTTTTTTGTTTCCATCAAAACGTGATTCGTTAAAATTGGATATTCTAGATATCGGATTGAAGATCTATTTTTTGTTTTATCTCTCTCACTCTCTCACTCTCTCTCTCTCTCTATCTCTCTCTCATTTTTCATTTTCATTTTTTACCTTTTGTTTTTCCTTTCTTTTTTTTTATTTCTTTTTCCACATCAATTTTTACTCGTTCATCGTTTGATGGAAAATGTAATACCGTTGAATTTGATCTCGAAAATATTTTCTTTATCCTCTTACATTAAAAAGTTTGAGGGATTTTTTTTTTTATATTATTATTATTATTATTATTGTTGTGTTGTAATACATACATACATATATGTATGTACATATTGAAATAATTTTATAAAATATATTGAAGAAATAAATGAATCCTTAAAGTTAACTTAAAAATGAATAGTTTTAAACACGACAAGTTGAATGTGATATAATATGTAATTTATAAACTTACCACACGTATAAACGACTTCGAAATACGTCTTGATTTCCGGTCTGCATGGGTCGTTAAACGTCGTGCTGTTCGCCACGATGGAACAATGTCGTTTTCCATGGCACATTTGTATTACAGTCTCAGTAGCATAAGTCGCCGTACAGGCTGCCAAGTAACATAGAGAAGAAACGATATCGTTAAAATAACAATGGACGGTGCTACGACAATGTCGTCGAATTTCAAACATTACGATAAAGTTATCTTTCTCTCTCTCTCTCTCTCTCTTTCTCTCTCATTCTCTCTTTCAAAGTAAGCAAGACGAAGAGAATTTCACCCAGTACGGAGATTTCAAAATCTCAACACCTGTTGAACCGAATCTAATTCGAGTTCGAACGTTCTTCGAATATATATATATATATATATATATAGGGTATTATAAAACATATATATAGTATATATATATAAAGGTTTGGAACCTAGGCTGGTAATGTGAACATTGCCTGATCCGCCAATTTTTCTTTGCCATTTTTTGAACCTTTGCGAATCAATATATATAACTCAAATTTGTATTCTACGTGTAGATAAAAGAGTGTACTTTAATTTAATATAAAAATCATTAAAATCTATTCACTATAAGTATAGAAAATATTTACCAAAACTTTTCAAAGAAATATGCAAAGATGCACAATTTACAGCATTGCATTATCTGACATTTTCTGAACTTTACATGCGAAATTTATAACTCAAATTTGTATTCTACGCGTAGATAAAAGAGTGTACTTTAATTTAATATAAAAATCATTAAAATCTATTCACTTTTAGTATAAAAAATATTTAAAGAAACATCAGAGAATGCAATGCTGTGAATTGTGCATCTATGCAATTTCTTTGAAAAGTTTTAGTCAATATTTTTTATACTAAAAGTTAATAGATTTTAATAAGACTTATATTAAATTAAAGTACACTCTTTTATCTACGCGTAGAATACTATATCGACTTATAAATTTAGTATATAAMYTTCCTAAAATGTCAGAGAATGCAATGCTGTGAATTGTGCATCTATGCAATTTCTTTGAAAAGTTTTGGTCAATATTCTTTATACTAAAAGTTAATAGATTTTAATAAAACTTATATTAAATTAAAGTACACTYTTTGTTYTAAGCGTAGAATGCTTTTTTGAGTTATAAATTTAGCATGTATAGTTCAGGAAATGTCAGAGAATGCAATGCTGCAAATTGTGCATCTTTGCAATTTCTTTGAAAAGTTTCGGTAAATATTTTTTATACTAAAAGTGAATAGATTTTAGTAAAACTTATATTAAATTAAAGTGCACTCTTTTATCTATACGTAGAATATAATATCGAGTTATAAATTTACCATGTAAAGTGCAGAAAATGTCAGAGAAGGCAATGCTGTTAGTTGTACATCTTTGCAATTTCTTTGAAAAGTTTTAGCAAATATTTTTCATACTTTTTGCAAATAGATTTTAATGAAACTTATATTAAATTAAAGTGCTCTCTTTTATCTACACGTAGAGTACAAATTTGAGTAATAAATCAATCTGCAAAGGTTCATAAAAGGGCAAAGAATGCGATGCTGCAATTTTTTTCCTACTTTGCCATTTCTTTAAAAAGTTTCGGCAAATATTTTTTATACTTTTTGCAAATAGATTTTAATGATTTTTATATTAAATTAAAGTGCACTCTTTTAGCTACACGTAGAGTATAAATT